CAGGAGAAAGTACAGATGACATAAAAAAATTGTCCACAGAATTACTGATAGAAAACTTTCCAAATAGAGGGGAAGAATGTGACATACAGATAAGTGAGGCATACAGGACTCCAACAAGCCATGATCAAAAACATCTACACCTAGACATATAATAATCAAGATCCTAGAAGCCCAACAGAAGAACAAAATACTACAAGCACTTAGAAAAAAGACACAAATCACATGCAAAGGCCAAGCCGATCAGAATCACAACAGACTTTTCAACACAAACCCTCAAGTTAAGGAAAGCCTGAAGTGAGGTATTTCAAGTCCTAAAAGAAAACAATGTCCAACCTAGACTGATGTATCCTGCAAAACTATCTTTTAAAATTGATGGGGAAATAATATACTTCCATGACAAAGAATAGCTGAGAAATTTCATGAACACCGAACTGGCACTCCAAACACTTCTAAACAATATCCTGGAAAAAGAAAATGAAGGCCACAACTCCATCAGGGCCAATAGAGCAAATATACCAGGCAAGGTAAAAAATTAAAGGGAGAGAGGGAAAAATAAATAAATAAATAAAGAAAGAAAGAACCAACAAAAGGAAAATAATATGACAATGAAAAGTCAATACATAACAGTTATAACCATGAATGTTAATGTCTCAATTCACCAATCAAAAGAAATGCACTAGCAGAATGGATTAAGAAGCAAAATCCAACAATATGCTATATATAAGAAACCCATTTAATCCATGAAGAAATTCATAGACTGAGAGTAAAAGGATGGAAAACAGTTCTCCATGTGATAGGAGCCTGGAAAAAGCAGGGGTACCTATCTTAGTTGCAGACAAAACAGATTTCAAATCAAAACTCTTAATTAGAAGACCATTACATCCTTTTAAAGGGAAAATACAAGAGGAAGAGATGACAATCATAAATATATATGCACCAGATATTAATGCCAACTATACAAAAATATTAATGGATATAAAAAACAAAATAAGCACTAATACAATTGTAATGGGTCACCTCAATACTCCACTGACACAAATTTATCATACACCCTGACTGAAGTCAGATTTATCGCAGGGACACTAGGATGGTTCAACATACATAAATCAATAAATGATAAAGCCTATCCATGAAAAACCAATAGTCAATATCATTGTGAATGGTCAAAAACTAAAAAACCTTCACACTAAAATGAGGAACAAGACAAGGATGTCCACTATCACCACTTCTATTCAATATAGTTCTAGAAACATTAGCCACAGCAATTAGACAAGAGAAAGAATGAAAGGAATAAAGATAGGAAATGAAGTTGAACCATCACTATTTGCTGATGATATGATACTCTACATAGAAGATCCGAAAAACTCTGCCAAAACACTTCCAGACTTAATTGACAGATTCAGTAGAGTAGCTGGATACAAGGTCAACACTCAAAACTCAATAGCCTTCTTGTACACAAATAACAGACTCACTGAGAGAAATTAGGGAAAGGATTCTTTTACAATAGCATCCAAAAAATTGAAATATCTAGGAATCAATCTAATGAAGGAGACAAAAGGCCTCTACACTGAAAATTACAGCACTCTAAAAAAAAAAGAGATCAAAGAGGATATAAGATGGAAAGACATCCCTTGCTCCTGGTAGGAAGAATCAACAAAGTGAAAATGTCCATACTTCCAAAACTTCTGTACTGATTCAATGTAATCCCTATTGAAATCCCAAGTGTATTTCATAGAACTTGAGAAAACAATGTGAAAATTTATTTGGATCCAGAAGAGACCTAGAATAGCAAAAGCCATTCTAGGCAACAGAAAGTTGGCAAAGGGGTATCACAATTCCCAACCTGAAACTATACTACAAAGCCACTGTGATAAAAACAGCATGGTACTGGCAAAGAAATAGATCTGAGGATCAAAGGAATAGATTAGAAGATCCAGAAACAACACCAGACATACTCAGCTACCTCATCCTTGACAAAGGATCATCCTCGCTGGAGGAAAGATAGCCTCTTTAATAAATGGTGTTGAAAAAACTGGTTTTTAACTTGCCAAAGATTAAAACTAGATCCCTATCTTTCATGATGCACTAACCTAAAATCCAAGTGGATTAAAGATCTAAATATCAAAACAGAAACACTAAATTTTAATGGAAAATAAATTAGGTCAAAGATATTGGCATAGAAGACTTTATAAACAAATCCTCAGCAGCATGGGAACTTGCACAAAGAATCAATAACTGGGATCCCATTGTATTAAAGTTTTTGCAGTGCAAGAGAAATCATCAATAGAGATAAGAGACAACCTATAATGTGGGAAAAAATTTTTACCAGCTGCTCCTCAGGCAAAGGACTACTATCTAAAAATATATAAAAAAGAACTCAAAAAAATCAGACCCCCAAAGACCCAATTGAAAAATGGTATATGAAATGCTCAAAGAAGTAAAAGCAGCAAATAAATATATGAAAAAATGTTCAACATCACTGGTCATTTGAGAGATGCAGATGGAAACAACACTGAGATTTCACCTCACCTCAGAAAGAATGGCTTCTATCAAGAAATCAACCAATAACAAATGCTGGCAGTGCTGTGGAGAGAAAGGAACCCTTTTCCATTGTTGGTGGGAGGGTAGTCTGGTGTAACCACTATGGAAATCAATAGGGAAATACCTGAAAGAGCTGGGATTAGAGGTTCTATTTGACCCAGCTATGCCTCTGCTGGGTATCTTTCCAAAGAATTAAAAGAATCACACCATAGTGATATATGTGTACCCGTGTTTATAGTGGCACAGTTTGTAATAACTAAAACTTGGAAACAGCCCAGTTGCTCATCAGTTGGAGACTGGATAAAGAAGATGTGTTTTTTCTATAAAATGGAATACTACTCAGCCATAAAGAATGAGAAACTAGAGCCATTTATAGCTAGATGGATGCACATGGAGACTATACTCTTAAGTGAAATAAATACTCTGTATTTTAGTAAATACTGAATAGTTTCTCTGGTGTGAAAAACTAAAAGTATAAATAAGGTTCAAATGGTATAATTGATAGCATGAAATAGGAAGAAAATGGCTAAATGGGAAGTGGGAAGGGAAGTGGAAAGGAAATAAGGGAAAAATGTGAAAAAATGGAAATAAAGTCATTGCAAATAGGAAAGGGTGACAGTGGTAAAGGGAGGGCAGGTGTATGGGGAAAAAATAAGAAGCAAGATATATCATGTAAAGGTACAAAATCCCAATGACAAATGTAACTGTATTGTTTGCTCTAAATATACCAATAAACTTAAAAGAAAAAATATCCCATCATTTTTGCAGGTTTAAAGCTGACCTAGGTTCTACACTGAAGATGTGTTGCTCCTGTGCCTTCAAGGGCATGCAGTCTATGTTCACTGCCTTTCGTGTCCACATCTGTCAACAGTCTCTGTTTTAGTAAGATCCTTAGGTGATTTTCATGTACCTAAAAGTTGGACAACCACTGTCTTTTAATATTTATCATTCCCTCGTGACTTGTAATAAACAGCTCTGAATGGTAGGGAAGAATTTTTACACAATTTTTAGCAATGAGGGAGTGTGTCGAGGGTCAGTGCTTTAAGGTAACAGTAAACTAGCAATTGAAACCACCTCATAACTCAATCCAGTGCTCTTCCACAATGCCTTGCCAACAGTAGAGTGAAGACCACACAATAAGGTTTCTATTTATTCAACTATTGATGTAATGGCCCTCAGGCTTTGCTCTTCTTTAACTGTAAAATAACTTACTTGTTTCAGTCATCAAGAGTAACATGGGCACCAAAGAACTCTGTTTTGAGTTATCCTATCAGTAGCAGGAATCCAGGGAGAGAAGTCACCATGTCCACCTGTGCAGGCACTGAAAGGTGTCTCAAAAACTGCCAAAGACCACACTGCCATAGGTCTGTGTACTCTCCCTGCAGGCACGACCACATGGAGTCAGATGCAGACCTGCTCTAGACCCTGTAGAACTCGCCCCTAGTTGCTCTGTGTACTTAGTCTCCACCTCTCCTATTGTCCCAACTCAACTTCCAACCCCCTCTCTATTCCTGCTTTCCTGAATGACAAGTTCCCTTCTTCAGGCTGGGCTAGTACTCTGGGAGAATGTGCTTCTGATTTCCACATTTAGGAGTTTGATATGGTGTCTCGGTGGAGACTCCCTGCTTACACACATGCAAAACTCAACCATAACAAGTTAACGAATCAAGTTACATTTCATTATCTTTATGTCCTTTCTCCTCTCCACTTAGCAAACCACATTGAAAGGCCAGCATGAAAGCAGCTATCAATTTTAAATACCAAAACCATTCTTCCAGAAAAGACAGCAAAATCACCAACATGAATGCCAGGATGAGTCTCTGATAATTTTCAAACCACTTGATGGTTCTAACAAGAGCCCACCACTGTACTCTAAACATGGGGAGAATACTGACTTTTAAGTTTCAGCCAACATTTTGGTAAGTATTTTTATTATTAGTTTTGTCAGAAAAATTTGTTTATACAGGTGATTTCTGATGCACAGTTTTATTAAAGTCAGAGATGATTACTTCTTCTAGAAACAAATCTTTGACACTAGAATGGAAGACACTTTATAATTTACCTTTATCAAACAAACTACCTGATAACACATCAATTAATTTATATGAATATTACTTTGACATTACATGAGTCATTAAAAGAAAACTCTCAAGCCAAAACGCTTATATTTTCTACACTTTAGTTCAATCATCATCTTTTCTTAGATTTTCAAATTTATTTTATTTCTATTTTTTTGTGGTGCTGGGGGTTGAACCCAGGGGCACATGCATGCTAGCAAAGTGCTGTACCACTGAGCTGTACCCCCTCCACACTGCTCCAACTTTTCTTAATATTTGATGAAAATAAAAATTTCAAGTAACAGTGTTCAAACACACATCTGTAGTGAGGTGCAGCAGTCAACTTCATGCCTCATATTTTCCAGGTCTTTCCTTCAGTAGTTTCTTAGATTTTTGTCAGTCTTGTTTTTGGGCCTATTTTGCCTTTGGGCCTACACTGAAAACAATACTACAATGTATTAATAATCCATAGTGAGAATATGGTGTAAGCGGGTTTCTAACTCCCCAGCAACACAAGTGAGTGTCCCTAGTTAGTCATAGCTGGCCCCCTTCATGTGATCATTTGCTCTCTGAGGCTGGACTCCTGGGTCTGACCTTCTTGGCAGCTTCCAGAATAGAAAGTGGGTTTACTTTGTCTCCAAATTCTTTTTCTCGATGCTCAAGCAGAATACCCTAAAAAGAAACAAAAGGAACGTCAGTCCTCATTCATGAGACTATCACTGAGGGCCAGCTGACTGATCAGCCCTGTACCTGGAAACAGAGAACACAAAGTGGCATCAGGCCAGATACCTGCCGGTGAAGTCCAGTTTTCTTGGGAAGCCACATCACAATATTTGTACTACACAAGCAGCACACTGAAGCAGGAAGCCAGGAATGGTTACTTATGACAAAGGTATTAGGAAAGGCTTCACAGATGATGAAGCACAGGAGGCAGCTAGGATATAAACAGGAAGAGAGAGAGAGAGGTAAAGGTACACAGCAGCTGGAAAAAAAAAAAAGAATGAAGCTAACACAGGAAAACGCAATGGAACAGAATTCAAGAGGTGAGACTTTGGCAGGTGCTGAATGACCAGCTGAAAAGGGAGCCTGCTCTGTTCTTCAGTTTTCCTAAAAAACTGCAGGCCACCCTTCTGTATCATGAAGGAAAATGTACTGAGATACAGGATACCCCCAAATGACCCTAAAGTTATATATTATTATTGCTTGAAATTAGCATCAAAGAATCCTTATTAAAAAGCTCTTTAACTCATTACATCTGGAAACTCATCTTAAATTTAATTTAAAAATCTGTAAATACATTGTTATTATCTATAAAGACTTTAAAAATAACAAGTCCCACAATGCTGACAAGGCAGGAGATCAGGAAATCATATTTACTGTCTCAATAAAGCATAATACAGGCAGTAAAAATACTGAGAAATTATATGTAATAACATGGAAAAATGTGCAAGACACACTGCTAAAGAGAAAAAAAATTCAGTTTAGTAGAACACTATTTTCTGGAAAAAAAAAATCTAAAGCCATTCTGCTCTGTTCCAATGGTTGCCTATGGTGACTAAACTTGCAAAATGACCCCACCGTCATTTTGCTTTCTTCAAATTTTCTATAGCGTACATAAATTTATTTAAGTATGTTTTGCAGATTATCAAAACCAAAAACAAGAACAAAACAAAATGAAAACTCAATATCCCCACTGGGTGGCACCTGGCACCTGGCAGTCCTGATGCTCAGCTAGCCTAGTTAGCCTTCTGCAGGGCAGAGGAAAGCCAGGAGATCCAGGATGTACCAACAAAATCAAATACACACCTAGCAACACCAGGAATGTGCCACTGGGGCCCATGAGCACCAGGTGAGTCACTGGTAGGCAAGAAAAGGCTGGCAGGTATGGCAAATCCTGCCCTGGAGGCCAGGGTAGGCAGAGCCAGCGAGGAAGGAACACCACAGTGCAGCATGCAAAGAGGAAGTGGTCTGCCCACATGGAAGGGCATCTGGAAGGTCTCCAGGGAGCCACCTCTGAAGACAGTCCATGGGCAGGGGCAGGACAGGCTCTCTGGAGATACATAATGCATTTCAAATTTCATTTCCATCATAGCCCTTACTAGCCTTTTCTCTGGGTGACTGATTTCCTATCTCTGGGCCCATTTCCTTCCATGTAGATGGGAACAAGAATTCTTGACATCCAAACTGGCTGTAAGGAAGACATGTAGTCCTGTATGAGCACCTAGACAGGCAGACATACTCTGGTAGCCATTACCACTGACATTTTGATGTATTTGCCAAAAAATGAGCATATAGGCTTTGTTAAACACCATTTAATGCCAAGTTCTAACAGAAGCAAAAGCAGTTACCAAAATGTAAAAGATAGGAGAAATAAGACTTAAAATCCAAGGATTTCTATTTCCAGTTTCAGAGCTGCTAAACTGGAGAAAGACCAATTATCAACCTTGGTGGTTAAGATCCAATGATGCAGACCAGCCTGCCTTTCCACATAAAGAAAATACTTTCTTCACATGTTAACATCATAACCAAAGTTGACAGACTGGCCTAGAAGTCACACTGCCAGTCCCAGGTTGCCTGCCCTGCACTGCCTGCACCCATCGTGCCTCGTCTCTGCTGTACAGCTGTCTGCCTACGCTGGCACTGCTCCTCTTGGTACCACATGGGGCACCACACACTTGTTCATAGGCCCCCAGAGACCTCATCTCTCTTCTCTGTCTTCCTCTGGGATCCCCAGTCTGATTCTGGGTCCTTATATCCCTGCCCCACAACAGCCTATCTGCAGAGGGCTATTACCCTCTTCTCCAGGCTCAGCCCCAACACAGACTCCCACGGGTAAAAGTGTGGTCCCCTTCAACCTCCTTGGTTTTCCTCCTCTCCTCTTCATCTTCTCCATCATTCATCCTGATGGCTTAGGAACACACCAAAGAAGTAATTCATAAAGAGAATAAAAATGATGCTTTGGTCTGACCACAGATGACAAAACTTAAAGTGAAAAGGCCTAGATGCAAGTCCACAGTGTCACCACTGAAACTGTGCTCACTGGTGCTGTCACTCATATCCTCCTGTCCCAAGTTCTGTGTCTGCAATGTGATCAGACAAGTCAGACTATCGCATGATGTGTGTGACACAGCAGACACCAAATGTGTGATCGGTGACAACTGCCCACTCTTCTTCCCTTCCTCACGTTTGCTGGTCTAGGAAGGAAGACAAGGAGGCCACAAAGAGGAAAAGTCAGCTCCTCTCCCAAGCCTTTGATCTGCATATCCACTGACCCACAAGGAAAACACCAAGAATTTACCTGCTTTCCTGATCCCACTACAAAAACTCCACCAAGGATGACACCTTCGCCTTTCAGGTTTCCAGAGAAGCCTCCACTCCAGGCCCGGAAGAAGTTGCACCACACACCCAGGCGCAAGAATCCCATGAACAACAACTTCCGTCGCTGTGGACCATAGAACTTTTTCTACAGTACAAGAAAGACAGCACATTAGTAGCCTGTATGCTTGCCTTGCCCAGGGAGGACAGGTTCCAAGCAGGGCATCTGTTCTCAGGCAAAGCCTGCTGGGTCACATCCTCTCCCCACCCACCACACAAAAAGCTCCCACCCAGGACTATTTCCTCAATGTCTGAGGAAACATAAATTTGGCCAGGTTTAGCTTCTTCCTTAAAAACTGTTCGTGTGTGTGTGTGTGTGTGTGTGTGTGTGTGTGTGTGTGTGTGTGGTACAGGGCATAGAACTCACGTTTGCCTCACACATGCCACGAAGTGTTCTACCACTGAGCTACATCACCAGCCATGAGTTCAGCTTCTGACATGAGGCAGGCCTGACCTAGGAAAGCAACTGAAACTTCTCACTGTTTTGTTTTCTGTGGTCCTAGGGATGAACCCAGAAAGCACAGAGATACATCCCTAGCCCTTTATATATTTTGAGATAAGGTCTCACTATCTTTTCCAGGCTGGCCTTGCACTTATGACCCCATCTTATTCTCCTAAATAGTTCAGATTATAAGTATATATCACCATGCCTGGTGAAAAATTGTTATCATTATGATTATTTCACAGTGCTGGAGATGGAACTCAGGGCCTCATTAACACCAAGCAAACACTGAGCTACAGCTTCAACTTCTTATTGTTCTTACACGTACAAAAGTGCTACATCCTACACTGGGTGAACTAAAGAAGAAAAACACATTTAACAAATCAAGAGTTGGAAGTTTGCGCCAGGACTCCCATATGCATGTTGGGAACGTGAAGGGGTTTCAGCTACTTTCCACCCTTCTGGATCATACTGCAGGGAAAGGCTCCCATGATAACCAAGAGGATGGCCTATTCCGAGGGCTGGTGAGCCCCCTGCAAGCTCAGGGCAGAAGAAGGGGGACCAGCCAACAGATTCAGTCAGACACGGTCTGAGTTGCCCAACTCTCCACACCGAGACAGTCCCCTCCAGTCATAGCACATGCACCTGTGCATCCAGGAAGATTTCTCCTTTGAAATAAGGCTGGAAGTCTTTCACTTCAGTGCCAACCTGCTCTTTCACCACAGCATAGAGGGGGACGCCCAGTTTATCCAGCTTGGGTTTCAGGGAGGACAGGTCTGCAGCCTCCTGGGGAAGAGAAGGGATTCAGCTTCATGGGCATGAAGTCCTCCAACTCACAACAATGTACAAGTCCCAGCAACACACCTCTCCTCTTTACTGACCAGAGCATTGCTGGTACAGCAAGTACAAGAACAGGGGCAACAAAATGTCAGACAGGTCAGGCCCAGGGAGCCAAGCATGCGCCTGTTCCAGATAGGCTCCAGCTTCCTGATCAGGTGTCAGGTGCCCTCTGCAATGCAGGTGTCTCATCTTTCTCATGGTGGGAAGAAGACCTGGGCTCCTATTACGGGTATCCCAACTGCAGCATGGGCACAGCCATGACTGGGAGGCTGTGTCCAAACAGGTCATTCACTCCCAGCCCTGCACTTCTCTCCCACCTTATCTTCCAGCCCCTCTCCTACCCTAGGCCAAACCGGCACAAGGATCCACAGACTGATGTCATGCAGGCCATGTGACCACGGGAGCCCCCAGGGGTCTCCCCTCCCCTGCTATAATCTTCTGTCTCTCTCTACCTCAAACCTGACACTCTGGGAAGCATCCCTGGTCTACAACAATCTCCCTGGACAGTGAAGCCCAGCTTGTCTGCATGTCTATCTTCCCTGCTTGGCAGCTTTCTTTGCTGAGTCTGGGTGTTATCGCTAAGTTGAATGTTGTCAGTAGATTCATGATGTGTCCCATAGTCAGAAACTGAATCTTCTATTTCTTGGACCTCTCAGTGCCTAGCACATAGCTGGATACAGAGAGGGTATAAAGATCAGGCAGAAAGATTTGAAGGCAGACAATGGGGAGAATGCTGCTGAACTGAATGGTACAGACATCCCTGATCCTCATGAACTATGTGCTGGATGAATAAATAATACCACATGAGTTACGGTAAAGCTTCAACCTTAACAACAAATTCCCTTTTTACATTAGGTGTCAGAATTAAAGAATCAGCAGGAAATCCTTTTAAATGGAGCCTGCTCACCTCCAATACAAATGTGCTGCTTTATGTTAGCAACTTCACTTAATTTTTCATAACTTTCTAAAACAGGAAAGAAAGGATAGCGAGCACAGAAGAATTAATTATAATGAATTTATCAAGAGTTTCAGTGAGTGGAAATTTTGCCAGAGAGCAGAGCGGAGGACTACAGTGTTTAATGTGGTTGAAGACCATCTATCAAAGATTAATAGTTTCATTTGCTTTTTCTGGGCCCTTTAGATTGGATATGTCACTGTACAAAGCCCTGAAGTGGAAACTGAGTCATGCACCACCTCCTCAGGTCTCTCCAAATAACTCAGACTGCCACCCATCTACCACTTTAAAAACTGTTTTTACAAGATTGTTTGCCAAGGCACAGATCAGCACAGAGGAAAACAGGATGCAATTAGCAAGAAGTATTGCTTTGGAACCTTCAAAGTTTCACTGGTCTCATGAGATCAAGTCAAAACAGGCTTCCATGTTGGCGTTTGGAGGCATTACAGATTTGCAATGGAAAGCCCTGCGTTTAAACTCCACTGTAGTGGAAGGTGGAGCAGTGAACCCCTAAACACACCCACATCCTAATTTCTGGAAAGTATGAATATGTTACGTGACATAGCAAGGAAAAATTAAGTTTGAGATGAAATTTAGACTGCTAATCAGCTGACCATAAGTAAGAAGATTGTCCTATGGGCTGGAGCTTTGGCTTAGTAGTACAGCATGTTTACCATACTCAAGTCCCAGCACAGGTGTACACAAACACACACACACACATACACACACACAGATTTTCCTGGATTGTAATAGTGGGCCCAATGTAAACACCAGGACCCTTAAAATGTGAAGGGAGGTGGAGAAGTCAGTGTTATAGGGATACAATGAGAATGATTTGTCCAGCCACTGCTGACTTTGAAAATAGAGGAACAGACCATAAGCCAAGGAATTCTGGTAGCCTATAGAGGCTAGAGAAGGCAAAGCGATGGATCCTCCCCTACAGGCTTCAGGAGGAATGCAATCCAATTTCATCCAGGTTTATATAATAACTTTGTCGTTTAAGGGCACTGAGTTGGCCACTTGCTACAGCAGCAACAGGAAATTAATACACCTCCGCAGGCAGTGTCTTCCAAGCTCCTCACCACTGCTGCCTCCTCTGTAAAATGAGAATGGCAACAACAGACTGTATTTCCTAGAGATACAGTGAGGGGCTGACAAGATAACAGGCATAGACGTGCCAATATAAGAAGATGGATTCCTCACATATAAACAGGAGAGACCACCAGGCCACAGAGGTGATCCCTCATAGTGCAAGAGGTGACCAGGGGAATGGGGATGGAAACCTGGATAAGGCCAAAGCTACTACCTGGGAAACCAGGCTGCCTCCAAGGCAGAAGCATTATCATTCCCAGCTTTCTTCCTAGCAAGGCAGTAGGATTAGAACTTACAGCTTCTGCTACCAACCGGGCAGCCCACCAAACTACTCTGGCTCTCAGCTTGCCCATCTACAAAGTGACAATTTCCCTCTGACACTAGGTGCCTTCCTTTGATGTTTCCTCACTTCCTGCACAGGCAATGACGGCTTCCCTTTGAAAAGCCAATCAGGAGACTACTTAGTCAGTGAGCTTCAACGCTTTCCAGCTCTCATGCCAAGTGCACCCATGCTATCAGCATGACTGGCATATCAAACTTGTGAGGGGGCAGCAAGGCAGAAGGGCAACTGTGATGGAGCATATGATGCTCAGCTTTCCACGCCAGACTCCTGGTGGGTCCCCAGGGCTAGAAGACAGGCATGTCTGTTCCAAAGTGTGGCCTTGAACAGCTTCTGTATGTGCTGCTGCTCCATCATAGGTAGGGCCTGACCACATTCCCATCAGTAGAAGTCCAGCCCCCATTTCATTATCTGTGCTCTTAGGAGCACAGAACTGGACCTCGTAGCTGTCCTCAGTTAAATGGGAGTAGTCCAGGACAAAGATGTACAACACATGGTGAAAAGCTTGGAAGTACCAAAGGAGAGTCAGATGTGTTGCCAACCCCAGTTGGAGATGGCAAGTGCTACAGAACAGGAACAGAGCCTACGCCAAGAGAAATACCTAGTGCAAATAAAAAAGAACAGCTCAGGGTTGAATGAATAAAGGATAAGGAGGGCCTGAAGCACAGGAAATGCTCTGGCCCCACTTCTTGGGATCATTTGCTCCAAAGAGATCCTTGGAGGCACTCACCTCACGACAGAGGAAACAGCCTGGCCTCCGCACAGCCATAATCACAGCTCCATTCTTTTCCCATAGCTCCTTTGCTTTGAAAGTCCTTGAGTCTAAGGGAGAAGAAACAGAGACAACATCCCCTTCTCCCAGCCCTGCCCCAACCCCAGAGCAGCTCTTGAACTGCACTAGGTCAGGGCAAGGTCAGCAATTAGGCCTGAGAGGACCTGGACAGGCACTTTATACATGGGAAAAGACAAATGCATACAGGAATAAGTATCTCCCTGTGGAGAGGAAGTAAAGTTTAAGGAGTGGACTGTATGCTCAAAAGATCCCAAAATCTACTTTCAAACTAGAATCTTCCAAACAGCACTATTTCCAGCTCAATTGAAATTCCCTTTATGGCTGGCATTGTGGGACATTGTAACAACCCTATGGAGCACATACAAACTCAACATCTTGTACTCTGAACAACAAAACAACTCTACTCCTAAAAATGTACTCAAGGAAATAAAAAAGTAATTTAACATAAGTATGTTAACTGCACTATTACTAATAAAGCAGGCCAGATGATGTCCAATAAGGAAATCCTGGAAGCAAGACATTACGGCAGCCCCAGCCTGCTTCAGAGGTCACTCTGAGCCTGAATCTAGCTGTGGAATCCTGGGAAGGGGAAAGTGACTTTTCCTCTTTGGGCCTTGGTGTCTTTAGCAGGTCTAGTCATAGAGAGTTAGTGAGGGCTCAATAAATATGAACCCTTACATATATCCCAGATGCATTCTTGTCCCTGTAGGACGTTATATGAACAAGAAAGGAAGGAGGGAGAGTGAAAACATAATCGAAGGAGAGTGGAAAGCCAATGTTGAATAAAGCTCAACAGGCCTCTTTGCATCTTACTGAGGTTATCCACCAGGAGTCTCTGCAACTACTCCCTTGAGTTCCTCAGATAAGCTTCCTCAGGGAACAGATGATAGTGGCTTCGTCTTGAGCTCTAACCTGGGTACCACCCAGCCCATAAGCTCCAGTGTGTATCTGGGAATGACTGAGTCCTGCTGAGTTACAGCCTGTGTGCTACCAACAGCCAGTGAGGAGGCAGGGCGACCAGGATTGAGTGTGTGGCTCTGTCACTCCAGTGTCACTCCTCTGTCACTCCAGACAGAACTCTGGGTGGGTTCCCAGGGGAGGCAGACACACAGGTCTGTTCTACAGTGCTAAATTGAAGAGGGGACTGACCACACTTGATCAGTAGCAACCCAGACCCCCACTTCGATAAGCAAATCCCTCCCTACTGATGCTGAGCATTGGGAACATGGAACTGGACAAATAGTATGTCTCAGACTGAGGAATTGGACTCAGGGATTCTGTTTTTTAGGGAGATACCACAGCCTGGAATTCCTCAGAACACTCTGTGGAAGGGCTGGTTTGTTAAGTGATGTTATAACATCATTAAGTATTATTGAGTAATTTATCATTACAGTTAGACAACAGAGTGAAAATTGACATTGAAAAGAAAAATGTAACAAGGGCCAGGGATTTAGCTCAGTGGTTCCGCCGCCTCCCTTGCAAGCACAAGGACTGGAGTTCAATCCCTGGTACCAAAAACAAACAAACAAACAAACAAAAAAACCATAACATAGAAACTGTAACATAGCAACTTATACCAAAACCATAACTATGCAACAATATGTATACATGGAAAAGAATAGGCAAAAAACGATTGTGTCACAGTAATGGAATGAATGGTAATAGAAAAAGTGTTACTAAATTTTCCCTAATGCTGTTATATTGCTTTTTCAAAAAAGAAAGATCTATTTTAGAAAGAAAAAAAAATTAAGTATGCCTGCACCTCAGTATCTTAGAAAAGTACTGGGACCAGCAGGGTCACTACTTACCCTTCTCCAATGTTTTCAGGTCTATATCTTCCAGATACTCCAGTGTTGCTTCTTGGGACTTGGATAGAAACATGTCTGTGTTGGCCAGGACCAGTGCCAAGGCAGCAGCCCCCAGGGCTCCTGCACCAATGGACCACATCCCCATGGAGAAGAAGCTTGGGTTCGGGAGGAAAGACATTCCTGGAGATGGAGAGGAAGGGGGATATTACTGCTCCCACAGGACAGCCGGAATCCGATCTGCCAGGCAAGGCTGAGGGGTTGGGGGGCAGCCAGGAGACCGGAGGAGGAGGGGCGCAATGTTGGAGACCAGACTGGACCAGGCTGCAGAGCACCTGCCTTCCCAGAGCTCGGGGTATGGCATGTGCCGGCTCACCCCAAGGAGCTCACCAGGGAGTCAGGTGCCAGTCCAGGGAAATGATAACCTTTTCAGGGCTTCTCTTGTTCCTTCCCCTCAAAACATAGGTAGTGATGGTTGGCCTGCCGTAACCTCTTGGTGGCAGAAAAATTGCCTGTTTTTCTCACTGATGCCTGTCTTTCACTACCCACGTAGCTTAGCTATCATCTCCCTGGGTAGGGGAAGCTTCCTCAGAAGACATCTGTTTTGCTACTCCATTTTTCTTCTTTGCAAATCTCCCAGAAACAAGGACCATATTTTATTCATCAAATCCTAGCTAGTGCCCAGGAGGGCCTCACACATGGTGGGCAGGCAATCTCGGTACATTTCTCTCAACTGAAAGGAGCTTTATTTTTTACTCATTATAGAAATAAAATAGGCCCTTGGTAAAAATTTTAAAAAACAATTAAAAGAGAGGCAATTTATAAAATCAAGAAAACAAATCTTCTCTGAAGATGGTCACTGTTCGATGTCAGCGTGCCCTGGGAACAGAACTGTATCAAGGTCTTCTGAATGTGTGGGAGACAGGGGAGCAGGTGGGCATCTGCTTAGGAAGGGGCCAGGCAAAAGGTGCCTGCACAGGGTATGGGACTCGGCAAAGGAAAGGGAGTTTCAGGAAAGTCCCACTGGATCCAGTCTGGTTCTCAGCCAAGTCCAGCTGCTTTGCTAATAATAATCCTCCTGTGTGGGAAATCCTGGAAGTATCCTACCTTTGTAAAAGCAGTAGGGACCCATCCATTTCCTTCTCCTGCTGCTTCTAACACTTATCCTCCCATCTGGCCCTTCCTAGTGCCTTCCTCCCTAAGCACCAGTATGATTCCATGTGCTGAGATCATGGGGGATACGTCTATGGGTGTGTGGCGCGGGAACACAGACAACTTCAGACTCAACAAGGTAGGAGAATTCTTAGGATTTCCTAGGATTTAGCAAGGATTCTACAAAGATCAAGCCACAGTCCATCCATATATCCATGTCACTTTGAGGGAGGCATCTGAGTAGAGCATCCCATTGAATTAGGAAGAAATCAATCAGTGGGATGACTTTGGGAAGGAAAACAAGTAGGCCAGGAAAACAAGTAGGCCAGGCTCACCCTGAGGCCAGCCTGGGAAGCTCAGATTTGAGGTAAAAGATAAAAAAGCAGTTCCAGGCCAGGGGTCACATAGAGAAAAATGTGAGGAAGAGGAATCTGGCATCTATGTATTAGGAGAAAGTGAAAAGAGGAGGAGTTCAGTATGTGCATTTTGGGAGAGGTGGTGCTGCTGTAATGTTTCCAATGTGTGAGGGTCTCCAGCTGGGACAAAGAGGTCTTATAATCCAACTACTCAAAATGTGACCTAAAATAAATCTGATAGAATTGAATGATGATGACAACAACTTATAGATAACCAAGTTCCAGAGCCAAGAAGGAAAGAACGTTTCACGGGTGTGCATCCAATTTTTTTTTTAATGTGGCACAGTTACACGTTACTAGATTATAGTTCACAGGACAATTAGGAAGTAAAGCACAGCTCTCATAATCTATGGTAAGCAGGAGATTCTGCAGAGCCAGGGACAATGTCTGTGCCTTTACATAGCTCTTAAACATCCTGGATTTCTGACAGGTGTGTATGATTCAAGACCACAGGAGTGCTAAACATTTCTGCACCAATATGCAAAAGCCAGCTTACCTCTGCCCTACAAATGGGCTTACTCCAACTTCTGCAGCTCTAACAGTGCATTCAGGAAGCCTAGAGACCCTTACAGTCAGCTCTGCATCCTTCCAACGCACCTCTGCTGCACTAAGGGGCAATGGGCTCAATCTTCCCCCTCCCCAGCCATGTGTATTTAGCCTGTTTGATGAGCCCAAAGGGATTCAACTCAGCTAGACTCAACCGTTATTTTAAAACATTTATTCAGCACTGGTCTATTCAATAAATGGACTTCTGGGGGCCATGAAATGAAATGATACACAGTCTTCACAGAGATATGGGCACACAAGGACAGACAAATTAGCAGGAAGATGAGGCAGCCTGGGGCAGGTATGAACGAGGCCATGACAGTGAAGGACAAGCGACAGTCTGGGAAGCCATAGAAACATGGAAAGTGGCTTTGAAGCTGATACAGGGTGCAGGAGGAAGGGCAAAATGGCTTGGCTGGGCCTCAGCTGACAGCCTGGGAAGAAGCAGGCAGATGCGGACAAATGTTAAGTGCTGAAGGCAACTTGAGAACTCAAGTTTCTGTGCTGCAAAGGTTCCCATCTCCCTACCTCAGGTTCAAGGGCTGGTGTACAACATCCAGGCTTCAAAACTCACAGGAGTGTTTTCTATTTCCGAGCCCTACTCCCATCCCCAGCTGTGATTCAAAAAGTGTGAGCAGAGTCATCCCTCTGGGGAGGTGGCCTGATCCTCAGGTCCAGCAGTACCAGGCTATGAGAGCATTATCAGAATTACTGGAGTGAGGCCTCTCTGTGGACACACTGTTTCCAGTGGGTCTCCAGCAGGTGGCTTTACTGCCAGTGACAAGCAATGAAAGCCAACTCCTGGGATACCTACAGCATACACAGGTTCAGTTACTCTACCAGACCCCAAAGCTACATGGCACCTACCATGCCAGCAAGCTTTGGAGCACCTATCCCCGCATCTTGCTACATATCTGAATCACTATTCCTGCTCACTAAAAGGGTGACAGGAGGAGCTCTATCATAGAAACAGAACCATGCAACTCCATCTGGGGCCTTGATGAGAGAGGCAGAGATCATTAGTACTGAATTTCCTTAGCCTGAGTTCACTCACTGAACAGTTCCATAATGAAGAGATTAGCTTGTTTGCAGCTGCAAAGACTGAGGTTTAGAGTTTGGTACAGCCATCAGGACCTGTCACATAGACCACAGTCAACAGGAATTGACCTAGTAGCCTTTCTACTGTTACAGCTTGCCTCAGCATACATTCACAAGTATGTTTTATTTGAGGGGTACGGGGGTTCGAACTCCGGTCCTTTCGCTTGAGAGGCAGGTGCCAGTACCACTGGGCTAAATCCCTGCCCCTCACAAGTATGTTTGTGGAGTTTAAGGGTATGGTCTCCATTGTCTTAAGAGAATTCAAAAAGATCAAGTTATCAAGTCATGAATCAAATACATTCAAAGTATGTTTGCTCTAGGAAATTTACCATATGCCAGATGTCCCTTTTCTTTCCTCCCATTCTATCCCCCTTCCATTAAGGAAAGGGTCAGTCTCCCTGAAAGAGAATAGTAAGGTTGTTTATAGAAGAGCTAACTCCCACAGTAGAATTCAGTTCCTTATGTGGGGCCTGGCTGACCCTCCTTCTCCTGCAGAAGGTGAAGCAGACAAACAACAGCTGTGAAAGATCACAAGGCAGCTTTGGTCTGTGAAGAGGGGTGTGAGGCCGGGAGAGGACTCACCAGCTTGGCCTGGGAAGCCCAGTTTGCCTCCCTCACCAAGCCTCATTTTTCTCATCTCCAAAATGAGGACACCCCATGATTCTAACACAATCAGCTGATTTCAGAGTCACAACATTATTAATTGTTCACCAACACCACCCTCCATACCTACCTGTCTTGCCCATTAGTTTCCTGCCTAGGCTGCCTCTTCCTTACACAGACACCTCCTCTCCCCACACAGGTCCCATTCCCAACACTGGGCAGGTCAGACCTAGGCACAGACACTCACTGTCCACAGCATCCACACCTTTGCCTCTGCTGACAATGAGGTTGGCCCATGGGTGAGCAGGCAGGGTGCGCAGGCAGGCAACAAGGGAGGGGTGGAGGTGGGGCTCTGGAGTCTTGCCTAGGTCCCTAAGCTCTATCACTCCACAGGCAGGACCAGGCCACAGAGAAACCCTGGGGCCCCTTCAGTTTTCAGCAGTTAATCTCAGAAAACATCAAAATGGAGAGCTGCCAAGGCCCCCTAGACTTCAAAAAGTTGAGCAAAGGTTTGAGTCATTTGCAGTCATGCAGATTATAACATTTCCCAAGTGCCAGCAGACACCCCCAGCTATCCGGTGCAGACCAATGAAGCGAAGCACTCAACATAGCCCATATGTCACATAAACGGCATCAAAGGGAGCTGTCCCGTTCTCCACAGCTCCTTGTGCCACCTGCTCCTCTGCCCATTCCTCAGCCCTTTCCCAGGAAATGAACCATTGCTTCCTCCCTTTGTTTTCCTGTCTTTTTTTTTCTTGCCACTTAAGTGGCTTCTCTCAACTCACACTCCCTTCCTGGTAACCACAGTTCCTTCCAGTACTTCACCACCATCTTTGTACTGACTCTGGGTCCCCATTCCTATTTCTCGCTCAAAGTTTCCACTTTTTTCAATATATTGCATCACACCATGTCCAAAACTGCTGGCCACTCTACTGAAATCAATTTTTTGACTCAGGTTCCCGATCTCAGAAAACCACCCAGCCAACTGCTCAAGCCAAAAATCTTTCTTTGGCCCTCACTGCCCGCACTTAGGAAATTCTGTCCGTCTTATAAAATGTATCTGCTACCCAACCTCCTCTCTATTTCCCTGCTACTGTCCAAGCCCTGGCTAATTACTATATTTTGTACCTCATCTATTTCAGCAGCCACAGAACTGAATTTGGCAGGTCTCCACTTTGGTTCTCTGCAGTTTATTCTTCATCCACACAATCAACAGCACAGTCTAAATTCAGCCCATCACCCTAGCCTTAGCTCCTACCACTACAGCCACCTCCCTAGACCCCTCAGCGTCCAAGGCTACCCAGTTTTCTATAACTACAAATAACACCTTTCCTCTAAACCCTTTCCTGAAAGCCCTGCCAACTGCCTGCTCCCTTGCCTCTGACCGTAGTGTACACATGTGTGAACACATGCATACCATCACTTACACAAATGGACTTCATGGATTAATGTGTTTCGGTTGCACATCTGTCTTCATAATTACAGTAGCACAGTCTGGGGGGGGATATCATTTTAACTCATCCTGAATCCCAGCACTTAACACCAATCCTGATAATTAGATACATTATATTCCAATGAGGGCCCTTGAATTTTATTCACTAACCTCCACAGTGAGGCAATTGTAACTAACTTACAGCCATTCAATTTTAGTTCCTTGTGCTGAAACTGGAACGTAATTTTGAACAAAGCTCCCCTGACATTAAAGAAAATGATCAACCTTGAGGTTTAGGTCCTAGCCTGACTTCTAACAAAGGCTCCCAACACAAGCTACAGACCCTGTGGGTGCAGTTCTCATCTGTAAAGACAGAGGGAGGAAATAGAAATTCTTTGGGGACATCCCAACTCTGACATACAGGGCCAGGGATTTAGCACAGTGGTGACGCTGCCTGCCTTGAAAGCGCAAAGTCCTACTTTCAATACCTGGTACCAAAAAAGAGAAACCAACTCTGACAACATCTAGAATTTATTCCATGTCTGTAGCTACAAGGATCTAGGGGCACTCCAGAAAGCAAGGAGGTACCAACCAACACTGCTCTCCTGCCAGCTTTGTATACTCTTCGTTTCTTTCCCTGGCTTAACTCCTGTCTGCTCAAGAAGCTGCCTCTGGCAGGAACTGCTGAAGTCTTAATAAAGCACCAGGACTGGGTGGGTTAATTCATGTTTGAAACAAGTACAGGCAGTACAGTATCATACTCTAAACATCAAGGGTACACCTGCCTAGCCCAGCCCCACCCAGGGAATCCTCCCTCCTCAAATTGAGTTAGCCTGAGGCAGATGCCAAGTAGGAAGAAGTGGGGTATTGAGGGAGACAAAGGAAAAAGTGTATGTATGTGGGCCTCCCTGCCTCAGGCCCTCAGTGAATAAGGCTGAAAGGATGCTTCATTCTCCTCTCCTCTATTCCCCCCTTCTTCCCTCCATGATCTAATTCAGCTTCTTCTTTATTGAGTAAATGAGAGAACTAAGGCCCAGAGAAGGGGCTGGCTAATCCTGGTCACCTATGTGGGATAGGTTTTCAGTGGCCATACTGAGACCCAGGTCTGGGCCTCCCAGTTTCCAGACTATGAGTGTTTATCTTGCTTTGTTCACTCCAGGTGCCAAGCAGCCAGCCATGGGCCAGTGATCTCTAAAGCTAGAACAGTGAAGGGGTTAGAGCTCGGGAAAAGGGTCCGTGCAGGTTCTGAAACCTGATCATCAGCATCAAACAAGCAAGCTAAGAGCCAAGTCTGGCCTCAGAATGGAAATCTGCTGCCTAGAGAGAACACAAACCACTTCTGAGTCTAAGACTTGGCAAAGAGTTTACATACTAATGCCAAATATTTTGTTAAGGGTCATATTGCCCATTCTCACTGAGAAGTTGATTTGCACTTTTCCTACCCAGAGTAACAAGGCCCTATCAATTCTAGATGCTAAAGAGAAAGCTTAAAAATACCAGTATAGCACTATGATGACACAGTGGGCAATGGCAGATGTTCTCCCACCTGTGTCCTCAAGGACCATGATACCAGCCACTTGACATGAGCTCTCGCCTATCTGCTCTAGTCTCCAATTCTCAGCTCTTCCTGGCTCTGCTCAGGCCTCTGCTCAGGTGCTAGACTCCAAAAGTTGGAAACAGATGCGCAAAGCAGAAGACAATATACCAAGCTACCAGGGAAACTTTAAGACACAGAGAAGATGAGGCTTGTAGGGGATGGTAGAGGTCCTTTCCTCTGAGAAATGACGCGTTAGCTGCAGAGTCCCTCAAAGATCCAGCCATTCTGTCCTCTTCTGCAAGTCTGGGCTGGACACCTACCAAGCCAGGAAGCCAAGGATGATACAACAGACTCGGCTCCAGAACCCGAATCCTAAGCTCACTCTGTGACTCTGAACAGTCATCTCATCCTTGTGTACCTCAGCATGTTCTTAAAAACAAAGAAGCTGGGGGATTTAGCTCAGCGGCACCATGCAAGGCCCTGAATTGGATCCCCAGTACCAAAAAACAAAACAAAACAAAAGCATCTGAAAACATGGTCATTTAAGAAAAGCAATGTGAAACATGGCAATGCACTAGCATTATGGTCCTTTTCTTTGCAGGGCTCACATTCACTCCTTCTCCTGAGGGCAGGGCACCTGCAGCATGACAAACATTGATCCACTGCGTCACTGCAGGCTGCCTCGAGGGCAGAAGCACTAGGTCTGTGGGATTCCCTGGCTTATCCCTGCCCTGCCACTGTCTGCCAGTCTACAATCCACCATCCACCCTCCTGTGGCCGCCCACACTGCCCTCTGCGCTAGTAGCACCAGAGAAGGCAAAGGGCACTAATCAGCTGAAACCTTCCTGTGTCAGAGGCCACTGGGCTCAGAGGTGAGGCTGGCTCTCTTCACAGCACCACTCGGAAGTTCTCACCACACAAACCTCCACCAAAGGAGGCTTGCAGCCCTCTGCTCAACTCTATTGCTGCAAGGACCCACCTGGCAGGAGACTGGTTTTTTCCTAAGACACTGACAGAGACTGGGGCTTAGGCCCTAGAATTCTAGTCTTAAACCTTCCCGGTAACACAGGAGCTGAAGGCACAATCATCAGAAATGTCCTTTGTATCATGTTCAACAAGAATACATAGTCTCAACTAAACAATGGGGAAATGCCCAGAACAACTACCATCTAACTCTAATTCCTACAATTTGCACAAACCTGGACACTTTTGCTTCTGTAAAATGGGAATGATTCCCAAATCACGTTCTGCAGAGATGAAAAAAACAGAACATTAAATGTATAGGAGACACTCTGTAAGCTATCTTATAAAGCACAACATAGATATGGGGGATAATGCTTATTTCTCAATTAATTACCCCCAGTTGTTCTTTAAATACAAAACGAAGAGTTTTCTTATTAATGAGAATCTTCTGTAGAGTCGGGGTTTCCAAGTCTTAATCCCAATTCTATTTTCAGGGCCCTACCAAAGGAGTATATCTAAGGCTGAAAAAGTCAGCTCCATGACAATACTTTTCAAAATAAATTCTAATTGCTTTCGCTTTCTAAAAAATTATCTACTGGACTCAAAGCACGATTCATTAAAATAAAAGCAAAGCTAAGATGTAGTCTAGGCAATCGAACGGTGCAAAGGCGGGGAAGGGCTGAGACACCAGGCTGGCCCTAATTTTGCCCACCTGGCCATCTCCACGTCTCCTACACAGCCGGCCCACATTCACACCGAGCACAGGCTGCGCGGTTCACCTTATCCTCGCACCTCTGCGCTGCTTCACAACGGACCCTCAGGTCTGTTCCGATTTTAAGTCAGATTTGTAACCTTTGCAGGAGGGAGAGCAGGTGCCTCTGAGACAGTAAGAAAACCACTACTGATGAGCTCGTGAAACACAGGACCGTGCGCAGCTCAGGGACAGGGTGCCAGCCGTCACTCCCGGCCACCCCGGGCTTCCCACCCCTTTTCTCAGTCCTTTGTCTCGGCCACTCCATATCCAGGGCACCCGCCTCCCTCAGAGCAAGCGAGCGCGGGCAGATGAGCTTCTTCGCCCAGAGACCCGCGCGAGATCGGCCACAGACAGCGGCGCGTGGGGTCCGGGAGGGAGAGGCATCTGGAGCCGGGGTCGGGGCTGCTTGAGGGGGCGCGGGTCGCACCCCAGACCACACTCAGCCACCCGGCCCAGCCCGCAGCCTCACCTGCGCGCAGCGGTCCAGCTTCCGTGGATGTTACGCGCCTCGCAGAGCCGGGTATTAGGCGGCCACCGCAGGTGCTTCCCGCCCGCCTTCCCCGCGTGGGAG